CCTTTCGTCACTCGATCAATGTGAGAAGCAGCCACAATATGAGCCTGCCCAAACATTTCATGCAAAATAGACTTTGCCTTTTTGTACCCCTCTTCCGGCGGTAACATCACAGATCCACTGATGGCTTCCTTTGCTTTTCCCGTACAGAGTTGGATCAAATAAGTGCGTCTAACGTTGGGATCGCTTTCGACGTCTTCCACATTAGTCTTGAAATTTGTTGTAAAGCTAGGGTAATCTCGACGTTCCGTTTCATGTTGTTCCGCATCTTGACGTTCCGCATCTCGACGCTCCGTATCTCGACGTTCCGTTTCACGTTGTTCCGCATCTCGACGTTCCGCATCTCGACGTTCCGCATCATCATAAGGTCCATTTCCCTCATGGTCATGACTCGTCATATTCAGTTCTCTGTTACCATCATCGGAGAGCTGATCATCACTATCTACTTCGAATTGTTCCAAGAGCTCAGCATGTGCTAACTTAGCTTCCATTTCTTGCAATTCCTTCCTTTCTGCAATCTCAGCGAATCGTCGTTTCCTTTCTAGTTCTAATTCTTGTCTTTGCATTTCTAGTTCTAAATACCGAGCTTCCCTATCTAATTGTTGTTTTTCTTTCAGTTGCCTTAACTGCAACTGCAACTTGCTTCTACTGATGCCTGCATTACTTTGCCTTGACCTGACACTTAATGCAGGGGCAGACCTAGAAACTCTAGGCGAATGGGGTTCATCAATATCTTGAACAACAGAGTGGGCCTTTGGGGGCATTTGAACATTGCTGAGCCATTCAGCAGTATATTGTGTTGAAACATCTCTCTCGTCTCTTACTGCATCCATATTCAACCGTCCATCATTATCCCTTCTAGACCCCATATGATCCAAAAATACACCTTTTATCACGGTGCAAGACTATTTATTCACAATAATCAAACTTTACTTGACGAAATTCACGCTTCATTAAGCCACAAATATACACAAATAATTACACAATAGCAATAACTTACGAAGAAGTCAGAAACTTTGTTGTTCTTGAAAGGGATTATCCGAAACGCACCACGTATAAAATTGAATCCATATTAAATTCATATATCAATATATTTTCGTACAAAACATCGCTTTAAAGGTGGTTTCTATAGAAACAATACAAATACATTATAAACTACGCTACAAGAAACAAATTACTTTGCAAATACATAGAAAACAGGACCAAAAACATGCAAATGTACCTGACTTTTGCCCTTCGTAATCCGAACAAACAATCAAAAAATATAAACCCAACATGTGTTTTTATCACGTGATGTCCTGCCTGCTCGCAGGCGATTAGGCCCTACTTTTCGGGTTAGATCCTACAGTCATTTTGATTTTTTTATTCAGTGTGTTGACTCAACACGGGTGTGACAGGAACTTGAGAAAATGACAGTTGCAACTTGTGTGTTTCGATTGCAATTTGCTCGGAGCAATTTTCCAGTAAACTCAATTTATTTTACTTTATCTAGAATGATAACACTCAGTCATTCGGCAGTTAAAAAGTGAAGCCTCGTGCACAGAGTAACATACAGAGGCTTATCTCAGTGAGAAAACCGTAAGGAAGGTGTTTTTTTTTGGCCGCCATGTTCTTAGTCAGTACCTACACATGCGCAGTATATGTAAAAAGGAAGCTTCTCTTTACTGGACTACCTAAGAACATGGCGCATTTTTCAAAAAAATCCCTTACGCTAAATTAACCTGAAGTGAGACCTCTCTATATTATGTACTTACTTTGTGCCTCGCGTGAGCAGTGGCATCAGACCTCTCCACGTCTTTTATCTGGAGCGATAACATGCAGGGAGAGAAACGTGAAGCCAATGCGAACGCCACTTGATGCACGCTGATTTGTAATAGACCCCGGCGCAGTGATGGAGTATAAAGCGACTGAAAGTGATTTGCTATATGGTGTGGCGATGGACTACACGATGATGGCGTATAAAGGGACTGAAACTGATGTACTATTTGGCGTGGAGAGCTGACGCCACTGCTCACACGCGCATTGCTCATGCAAGGCTTCACATTTCAACTGCCAAATGACTGGATGTTATCGCGTTCCAGGTAAATAGATTGAGTTCACTAGATTGCAGCCCTCTACGCCACATAGTATGTCAGTTTCAGTCCCTTTATATGCCAACACCGCGTGGTCCATTGTCACGCCATATAGTATGTCAGATTCAGTCCCCTTATACGCCGTCACCGCATGGTCTATCACAAATCATTGTGTGTCAGCACGCTGCCGTTAACATGCAAGAAATGGCGTTGCTTCATGTTTGTCCTGCATGTTATTGTTCCAGATAAAAGACAGAGTTCACTGCAAGATTGATTCAATGTTGCAAAACTCATGGGAACAGAACATCCGGTTTTACTGTAATACTCAATGTCACTTCCAGTAACTTTTAGTAAACAGCCATGAAGATGAAGTTTTTTCCTAAGAAAATAAATTGCGTTTTAAAATGCACTGAATATCACAAATATGTAAAATTCCTAATTGTTACATGTGTAATTTAAATTGACTGCATGCATGTGCTAAAACTTTACTTTGCCAACTTTGAGTTTTCATAAGTGAAAGAGCACGAAAGTTTATTGCTTTGACTTTTATATATGTATATATATATATATATATATATATATATATATATATATATATATATATATATATATATATATATATATATATATATATATCATTGATGTTTTGGTGGCCCCCCTCAAAATTTCATTTTCCTGAGGTGACCCCCCTTTCACATCACTATTTTTTCTGGTGGCCCCCTGCAAAAACCACCAGAAAGAAATACGAAGAAATACGAAGAAATACGAAGCCACGAAGGTGTTTGCTATCCGGAAAATGAAGATGCAATTTACAAACAAAAATACACATAGTTTACGCAAAGACATATTACAGAAACATGCAGTGCCGTTGGAAGCTCTTTTTTATTGGGGGAGTGGGAACGAGGGCCGAAGGCCCGAGGAAATTTTTACTGAATTTAGATTCTTTGAAATGCCATTTCCTGGACTTTGGGGAAGTTTTGACAGAATTCTGATGGTCAGAAAACGGAGTTTTAGTATGATATTTGTGACGTTACTCTGAGTATGCATCCACAGCGGGCAAGCTGAAAAGTTTGCTTGGCCACGGTGGGAGTCGAACGCGCGACCTTTGGGATATTAGTCCAATGTTCTGCCAACTGAGCTGCGTGGTCGAAATTTACAATTTGCTTACAATTTAGTAGAACTAAATGGGCGAAGGCGTATTTAATTAACTATATATTGCAGGAAAGAGTATAGGTAATATGATTCTTTGCGGTTTGTCATGGATAATGTAGCCGCTTAATAAAATTAATCAATAGACCTTTCCCCTTATGAGTGAAATTTTGATCTAGACAAGCCTAAACAAAAATTTCATCACAGCTTGAAAGAGCATCACAAAATTAGTAATATTCCGAAGTTTCGTTGCGAAATGTTGTAAAATGCGGATAATATAGCCTTGCGAAGTTTGCCATTTTTCAGTCATTGTATTACAAATGGGAAATTGATAATCAGTTTGATCATCTGATTATCAATTTCCCGTTTGTAATGCAAAATGACTGAAAAACGGCAAACTTCGCAAGGCTATATTATCCGCATTTTACAACATTCAACGAAACTTCGGATTCACTAATTTTGTGATGCTCTTTCAAGCTGTGCTGAAATTTTTGTCCAGGCTTGTCTAGATCAAAATTTCACTCAAATCGGGAAATTAAGGTCTATTGTAGAGGTGTGCAAATCCGATCCGAATCCGATCGGATTCGTTCGGATTTCGGAACCAAAATGTAAATTTCCAATCGGATTGATAAAGTTGTTTCGTAGTCGGATCGGACTTCGATATCCGAAATAAAATGAATTAATTATCCATGCATTATCGCAAGAATTAATTATCCATACATTTATCAAAGTATCATCGCGGTTTTCGCTGCATTATTCGTTTGATACTTCAATTGGACGTCACTTTGTCAGCTTCTTGACATGTATTCTTGCTTTTATATTTATTTGGTTAAATATTTCAACTTGAATGAGAAATTTATTTTATTAAAGAATTCTTCGGATCGGATCGGATTGGAATTCTTTTTCAAACTCGGATCGGATTCGGATTGGACAATTTCGGATCGGATTTTAAACATTAGGCAATTGTCGGATTATAAATGTCCAATCCGATCCGATGCACACCTCTAGTCTATTGTCAGTATTTTAAAGGTATATTATTTAAATGATAAAGGTGTGCATGATTTTGAAAAAAGAATGATCATCAGCAAATTCATGTAAAAGCTGCTGCCCCCAGTCCCCCCCCCCTCCCCCCGACTGCTACGGCCCTGAGAAGTAACTGAAACCGAAAAAAATTTACCAATTTACGATTTGTTTTACGTTATCCATGTAAATGCCGTGATTTGGTAAATCAGTTTATACCAATGGTTTATACTGACAATACCATTTTATAATATTTTCTCTGTTTAAACAACTAAAATTTTGTTATACTATTATTGCCGTAATTTTCCGAATGGCCAACCCGATTTTCCAAATATGTTAATTCTACAAAAGTTGGGGGGGGGGGTTAACCACACCCACACCCCCTAATACCCCCCTCGCTACGGCCCTGTCAGGAATGACTGAACAAATGTAAATTTCATAGACATTTCATTAGTAAGTAGTCGGTAGTCAAGTAGTAATTAAATTTTGCAGCTTTAATTTGACCAGTATTAGCATTCACAAGTTTATTTCTCAAAGCATCTCTGAATACAATATCTTTGAATACAAAAAAGCTGCCAACTATTACATTGGAGTATCGACTGCAAAAACAGTCCACAAGGAAATCCTCTGCCACGAGTGCTGCAATGTTCTTGGCTGTTAAGTCAGCATTCTGTCTTCCCAACTCCTGCAATTAAAATATCAGGGTAATCTAATGTGCCTTCATTATTCACAGAACTTGATGACCACATGGGGTCATCCATTTAGTTCAAATGTGAGGGAGTCAAAAATTTTTCAGTTACTGTCTGCCACACACAAATTAATAAAAGTTTCATATAACTCAAATATAAAAATTATCCCATCACTTTAGTAATAAACACTGTATGATTTTGACAGACATGACAAAGGTCGTATTATTAAATGCAAAACGTACCTGTTTTAATACAGTATTAAATATCGCCGTTAATTGTACCGCCTAACTTGTTCAGTTGATCAAGCTGCTTTGTACTTTGAATCAGTATTCCTAACTAAATGATCCAACACTTGAATATAATCTAATCCTAAATCCTTGTCATTTTGGCTCCATTGACGAGTCGCGTTCAAATCGAAAACTATACATTCTGTAATAGAAATCTATAGTATTCACTCCTCAAGTGGGGCCGTCCAACATGGGGTCGTCAGCTCACTTCCGGTTTCACTCTGAACACCGGATGCGCTATCCAGTCTTAAGGCCCTGTCACACTATTGCGTTCGTACCATTCTCGTACCCAGAGCCCTTCTTACGCGCGTTCGACCGAGCACGACGAGGGGCTCTGGCCAAATCCATAACCGGATACCATAAAAACATGGTATCCGGTTAAACACTGCGCATGCTCAACGTCAAACGCGGATAAACACTTCGATTTTCTTGTTTGTTTCGTTTTGAAAGTTTTTCTCCAGGAATACCCCACAAAAGCGGTAGGTTTCGCTAATTTTATTTATTTAAATCAATTAGTAGGTAAGACGTGATGTTCTCAATGCATGTTGATAAAAATTTAGTATATATTTCCCTCTTAAACGTTGCCAAAGCAGTAATGGCTACGGTTACGAAGACGAGAGATTGTCTCACTATTTTATATTCGATTTTAAGT